TAGTAAACCAGGGTCGCTGAAACCGTTTTTGAGAAAATTTTTGGCCTAAAGGGCCGGTGGAAAATTTTCGGTTCCGAATAGCAGTGCGACCCCTCGTTTGGTGGTAAACCAGGGTCGCTGAAGCCGTTTTTGAGAAAATTTTTGGCCTAAAGGGCCGGTGGAAAATTTTCGGTTCCGAATAGCAGTGCGACCCCTCGTTTGGTGGTAAACCAGGGTCGCTGAAGCCGTTTTTGAGAAAATTTTTGGCCTAAAGGGCCGGTGAAAAATTTTCGGTTCCGAATTGCAGTGCGACCCCCCGTTTGGTAGTAAACCAGGGTCACTGAAGCCGGTTGTGGCAAGATTTTTGCGCTTCGAGCGGTTTTGCTAAAGTTTTGCCCGGTAGTAGCCCAGAAACACCGCCCCAATGGGAAAGGGAGCCAAACGCCAGTCCCGTCAGGCTGATCCAGAATCTCTGGAAGTCGAGAACGTAATTTCTGACCCTGTACCTGATACCGACGCTCGCGTTGGTTGGGTTTACCTTTTAAAATCTGCCGAACTGGAGGCAGAATTAAGTAAGTTCGATTTAGATACGACAGGTACCCGAGTCGACAAACGAAAACGACTAATACAATTTCTCCGGACAGGAAAAAGTAATTCCTTGAGAACTGTCGATCAAAATGAATCGTTTAACTTGCTAGCCCATTCCTCCCCGGCAAAGGTTGTGACCCCTGCCCCAGTGTATACGTCAGCCCCGATAAATGCGTCCTCGACGGTGACATGGACAGCCCCGACTTTGGCAACCCCTCTCGCGATATCCCCTCGGCCAGTAACAACGCCGACCATAGCCGAAGATATTGCCCACCTTGCAATATCCCCGCAGATGGCTGCAACGCCAAACACCGCCACATATATAGCCCGCCAGGTTTCCCCATCACCGACACCAATGTCCAATGAACCCGAAAGTACAGCTACCCCGTCAACAGTAGCGTGTATAAGGGTGGATAAGTGGAAAATCTCCTTTAACGGGAGAGGAGACCCCGTAGCGTTCCTGGAACGCATCGAGGAAATTTGCGAGGCCCAGCATATCTCGTTAAACCGCCTGTTATCCCCACTGCCCCAGATCCTAGAAGGAGAGGCGGCATTGTGGTTCCGAAATAACAAAAGGTTCTGGAACCAGTGGAACGATTTTGTTACCGACTTTAAGATACATTATTTCCCGACAAATTACCTGACCGACTTGGAAGCTGAAATCAGCCGCCGGCTGCACCAGCTGCAAGAACCGATAACCGCATACATTACCGATATGCAAACCCTTATACGCCGCCACGGCGCGATTTCCGCAGAGCAAGAGCTCCAGTGGTTATACAGAAACCTAGCTCCCGAATTTAGACAACAGGTGCGTCGGTCTGACTGCCTAGATCTCCCGTCGTTTACCAAAGCGGTAAAGGAATGCGACACGTTGCGCAAAGAACTGAACCGTTCCTCCCGCAATCAGTTCCAAGGCGCCCTGCCAGTAAACATCCCGAAACAGCTGCCCGCGCAGGCTATGACGTTAAGCCAGCAGCCCCGACCCCCCGTCGCCGCATCCGCCACCCCGGCGACCGCCCAGTCGCGGCCAGCTACGGCAGGATCGGCAAATTTAATTTGCTGGAGGTGCGGTGAGTCCGGACACACCCGGCAAAGATGCACAAACGAAAGGAAAATATTTTGTTCCCGGTGCCGTAAGGCAGACGTGTATTCCAGAGACTGCCCGTGTCCGGGAAACCCGAACAGGACTGTGTAATGCCGAGGCAAACACAGTACCGCAATTCCGCCGCCTCGACCCTGAATGCACCGATAAAAGCACCTTCCCTGGCGGGAAGAGCACCCGTCTGCCTGCCAACTGCTACTCAAGGGTTACGTCAGCTACCAAAGGTCACGAAAGTGACAGTAGCTGATCCAACACTATCCCCGTCTACAAGCTTTGTCAGTTCTGTGGAAATAATAACCATAGATCAGCGGCCACATATACCGATTGAGTTTAATAATCAACGGTATTTAGCCCTAATCGACACGGGCGCTGCCTACTCCTATATGGGGGACCGAATAGCTGAACAGTGTGCTGTTCTAGGCTACCCGCAACAAAATGTCAATGCCATATACGTAGTAATGGCCAATGGACAACAAGTCCCTATACCGGGAACTTATCCAATGACATTTTCAATAGGCGCCCGCACCGTGTCTGGAACTTTTGGGCACCTGCCCAAATTATCCTCCGATCTACTGATTGGTATGGATTTCCTGACAAAGTTTAGAGTAGCCTTTGATTTGGCCCAATGTAGGCTGACGATGTGTTTTCCGGCCCAGGTTGGAGTAATAACCCCGTGCAAATCAGGCACCGATACCGCCGTCCGTAAGGATGAATTGGCAAATACCGAACCGAACCGGAACGAACCGAACCGCACCGAGCTGCAGCGAACCGAACCGAACCGAGCTGCAGCGAACCGAACCGATCCGAATCGTTCCGAACCGAAGGTAGATGCCGAATACGAAATGTCCGAACAAGAAGAAGCTCAGCTTCACGATTTTCTAACCGCCGAACTACCCGCCTTTGAGAATATAAAAGGAACCACATCTCTAGTAAGTCATGAGATACGCCTGACAAACCCCGAACCGATAAAACAGCGTTATCGGCCGCAAAACCCCCGAATGCAAGAGATTATTAACTCAGAGGTTGATAAAATGCTGGCCGAAGGCATAATCGAACCGTCCCGGAGTCCATGGAGCTCGCCAGTGGTTATTGTCCGGAAGAAGGATGGAAAACCCCGTTTTTGTATTGATTTCCAAAAAGTTAATGCAGTAACCCGAAAGGATGCATATCCACTACCGTTTACTTAACACTGTTTCAATTTGAAATAGTCCCAGAAAACACGCCCCGAAACAAACCCAGCAATAGCGTGTGAAATGCCCAGAACACCCCGTTTGATATCCGACAGGATACCGCCGTGACGTCAGGTCAAAAGAAAAAGAAATAAAATTTCTTTTTTTTTCCCGAAGTAAGGGGGGGATGTAACGAAGTTACTTTTTCCCTATCCCTACCCTGTGTTACAGAATCCCGATTTAAATGATTTATTTCACATAAGTCATAAACGACCCCGGAATAGCCCATATGTAGCGCCCCACCGGAATGACCCGTAGGACAGTCAAAGCGCACAGCAAAAAAATAGCCAGATTGTTTACTTCTGCCTTTCGACGAAGCGTTTTTATGCCAAGCAGCAACCGAGAGCACCGTCATGTCAAAAGATTTGCCACAACGCCGGGATTGGTCAATCTTGACATCATGCTGGAGGCTCGCGCAGCCGGCCCTAGGAGGGAGACCAGAGGGCATATAAGCGGGCGCAGCGCCTTCGAAGGGATCACTTATCACTTCTCATCAGTGCGACGAGTATTTCAACAGCATCCGGAACACCGACCGACCGCCGTCCCGACCGTCCGACCGCTAAAGTAAGTTGTAGTAACTAATTTTCTGTTTGTTTGTTTCAGAGACTTCCCTTTTATTTTCAAATTATTCTGTGTAAATTCATTTTCCATTTATTTATTGTTTTGTACATACGAGGATTTATTTTCAATATATGTATTAACCGAACCACCATTTATTCTTAAATTCCCCGGAACCCTGGAATTTTATCTCCACTGTTGACCCTAAAAGCTACCCTCGCACATAGTGGAACTTCAACCACTTTAAACCCGTTGAAGTTGGCGCTCGAGATTTTATTAGAAAGTCAGCACGGTAAGTGACGCCAAGCTTAAAAAGGAAAGTTTTTCCCCCGGGAAATAAAACCCTTTTACAAAGCTTCCAAATTTACGTCACTTCACACTGATATTAAAGGAAAGTATTATCACAAATAAATCAAGATAAAAACTGCGAGAGGGGGCTTTTTTGGATGCTTTTGTAATTATGTTTCTGTTTCTCTATAAATCCGAGCTGATTCTCCCTTCCGATAATTTATAAATTGACTAAAATTGCATTTCATCAAAGTGGCCCCGGATCAATTTGGAATTCCAAAGAAACGGAAAAATAATTACGGAAGCATCCAAAATATCCCCACGCTTTAGGGTTTCCACCTGCGACTTCTTGGTTAAGGGTTAGCATAAAAAATACGTGTTTTATATTTTTTTACGGGAGTCAATTAAAACTTTCTTTTTTTTTAAATTTATATTTAGTGTTTAATAATATAACTTGAAAATACTTTTTGTTTGGTATAAAAATCTTTTTTCTATTTGCATACTATAACAAGTCCAACAGACCACCATGATAGCGCAGGCCACCGGGCATTCGCCCGGTGTCCCGGCGGCCCAGCACGCCCCTGCATGTATAAAATATATGGACATTATAACCAAAAATTTAATTTATTTTAATAAATTATTGAAAACCCTGATAGTTAAGTAGGTATAATAATTAATATTATGAATAATGCTTGTATTGATAAATATAATAATTATTGTTAGTTTTGTTTATATTTTTTGGACTGGCCACTTTTAATAAGGGTATGGCTGTATTTTTTACTGTAACGTCCATTTGATCCAATGTCTTTAGTCTTACTTTAAAGTTTATTTTTAAAAAACAAAAAAACACTTTTCTTTGATTTAAATTTGAAAGGAATGATGTTTTAACTTTAATCCCTAAACTCTCTATATGATCGGGCTTAATAAATGTGTAATTTGTTTTCCTTAAGGGGAGGATTTATAAAATTACGAAAGTATGCCTTAAAGAATTTTGGCACTTCAGATATCATTTTATGAAAAATTAGAGAAGCTAAGAATTTATTCTAACGAAAATTTTAATTGGCTTTTTCAGTGGAAAAATTCCACTTAAGAAAATATTTCGTAAACATGTTTCACCAAAAAGAGATTTAAAAGTCAATGCCCTCGATACGATATGAACTTTTAATATTAACTTTTTCAAATATAGAAACCTAAATGAAAAATACTTTTTACATTGTATAAATAAAATAATGAAAAAGTAATGAAATGGATTTTAGGGGAAGCAACGAATTAACTTTGTCGAATTTAATCGATGAGTACACAGCCGATATCGACGAACTTTTTGATGTCGAATGCATACACGAAAATCTATTAATGGCCATGATGCACAATGACACAAATGGATTGGAAGATTTAAAAAATATTACAAAGGCATTGTTAACCAACAAGGAAATATACTTGTCTATACCGCCTCATGTAAAAAATAATTTGATGTGTTTAAATTATTTATTTATTTATACATTTTTAGATATATGGTATAGAAAATGAGTTGTTTGTTACTGCAAATAAAAGTAACATGTTGTATACAGTAAATAATAAGGTTTATAATGGCAAATTTAAAGGGCAAAATGTTGCCTATCCAGACTTCAGTAGTGGATCTGTAAAGGAGTATTTGATTTCTTTCGAAACCTTGATAAGCAGATATTTTGGTATAAACGAGATAAGCGGATTTATTTTAACAAAAAATTGGCCCGACAATGAAAACGAGGAACTTGGGAATCTTAACAATTTTCCTTACCTTTCAGAAGTAAGTTTTGATACAATTTATGTAAAATATTTTTAAAACAGTTTAAGTGACAAAATTTAAACAAAAAGTTGGTCTGACATAGCCTACTTTGCAAAACTAGCGTGAGACCAAGTTGGACGCATACGGCACTTAACCTGTTAGGTACGAGGTGTGTTCAGAAAATAACGGGAATTGTTAAATTTCGCGGCTTCGGAGGGTCCGGTTATCATAACATTTTATTTATTATGTTGGTATACATGCCCCCGAAGTATGATAAAAACTTTAGCTGTTTTCATTGTTTACTTTGTCTGTTGTAGCGCTGTTAGACGTGTTTTATGAGCTCGGCGATTTTCGTTCGTTAAAAGAAATGGATCAAAAAGAATTTGTATCCAATTTTGCTTAAAAAATGAAATAAATTCTGTAAAATGTTAACAAAGGCCTATAGTGAGTCTGCTATAAGTAAAACAAGAGTTTACAAGTGGTATAAGAGTTTCCAAGATGGCCGTGAATACGTTAAAGATGACGAACGTCCCGAACGCACAAGCACATTAACAACCGATAAAAACATGGAAAAAGTGGAAGAAATGGTTATAAACCATCAGAGAAGTCGCTGATGATGTTGGTATATCGATTGGCTCATCCTATGAAATTTTTTCAAATTTTTTGGGTATGAAACGCGTGGCAGCAAAATTTGTTCCAAAATTGTTAAATTTTGAACAAAATTTTTAGCCAAAAACAATACTGTAATGATGCCCCAGCCTCCATATTCACCAGACATGCCTCTGTCTGACTTTTTCCTATTTCCAAAAATAAAGAGAACCCTAAAGGGCCGTCGTTTTGCAAGCATAGATGAAAGGCTATCTCAAAGATCTAGTTTTAGAAGTGTTTCGAGTATTGGAAGAAGAGCTGGCACATGTGCATAATATCCAATGGCGACTATTTTGAAGGCGACAACATTAATGTAGACGAATAAATAAATATTTGTTTCAAAAAACGAAAGTTTCCGATATTTTCTGAACACACCTCGTAAAGGAAAAATCAAATAATTTTGCTGAACCCTACATTTTTAAATAAAGCCCGTTATTTTCTTTTTTCTTTGTACTATTGTACGATTTAAAAAACTACTAGTTTTTGCCTCCCTTTGAACCCTTTTAAATATGTCAAGCTCGTCACAGAAGCTTCTGCAGCAGTTTGTGAAGATATTTTTATAAAAGCGGAAGTTTATTCTAGGAAAAACCTGCTGGGCTTTAATTAATACAAAATCAGATTTTGTCGTTTAGCGAAATATTTTACTTAAAGTACAATATAAATATTTGTCATATTTTGTCATTATATATCAACATTTTTGGTGTTGTATAATATATCTTCTGTTTCCAATTAAATTTTTGTTGAGTTTTTTGTCTTTTCTTCTTAATAACTAAATAAATAAAATAGTTTTCTGAACTTGCTTTATACTTTCAGAATAACATATTATTTAAAGTAAAAAAAGTTGAAATAAAGGATATTTTATTTATTTTGGCTTCTAAGTTCCGTAAGTAATTTTTTAGAAAAGATTAACAAAATTTGGTTTTAATTTTATTGGCATTTTTATACACTTTTTCGAAGAAAATCGAATTGTCAAATTGGAGAAAACAACAAACGTGATTTTTAAATTAAATAAATTTCGAATAATTATTACAATGTGATTTTGACAATAATTGTTTATGTAACTTTTAACGTAAAATTTATATTTTAAAATGCTAACCTGCAATTACCTACCTTTAATTATTTTTATCCGAAATCGGCAGTAAAGTAGTCAACAATCGGTAAAAGAAATCGGCAGTAAAGTAGAACTTTACTGCCGATTTAATAGAGATTATTGTATGCAACCCATTATACATTTTGAGATGTATCTACTGCTACTCAGCAGCAACTAAATAATATTTAAAAAAAGCACCGTCGCGGAGGTCGATTGGACCCGTTCATAAAATGTTGTTTAATAAAAATAATAAGTTAATTTTTTTAATCAGATTAAAAAATCGCCGCGGCGGGCAAATATATCATAAACGCCGCAACAAACAGTATACGTAGACACTTCCTACATTCAAATGACATTTGATTGCATCATCAAATGACATTTGATTTGATCATCAATATTAATTATTAGTATTATTAAATGCGATTTCGGATAAAATTTATTGTGCACCTCGGCATTAAAGTAATTTTTTACCTCTCAAGTGGTTATTTGCCTATAATTTCCACATTTGTGATAAAAAATACGACTTTACTGCCTTGATGCATAAATAACCATTTTTATACAAGGTGTCCCTAAACTTAGTGGCATAAATTTAGGAGCAGATTAAGCAAGTTAAAATAAGACGAAAATCAAATAAATATTTTTCCTAATTAGGGGTGTTTAAAAGAATCAGGGTGATAAAGTGTTACTTATTATATCAGTTTTTTTAATATAAGTTCCACTATGGTAGACTTGGAAAGGTGATATTTTGCAAACATTCACTTACTACCAAAACACATATTCACGCATAATTATAATTGTTCGAGAGAACGCAGTGTCGTAGAAACAGGGGTTGCTTAAGCTTATTGTCTCATACAAACTTTGAGGTTAGGTTTTTATACCATTTGATGCAATTTTTCGATTACTCAGTTCGGCTACTATTAAAAAGGTGTACCTCTCAAACTTCGATAAAATAAACCGTTTCCGAGATATCCGAGATTACAATAATTGTTATATCGCATTTTTTTAATGTGACGGTCAGGGCAAAAAGTCTCGAGGCTCATGGAATGCCGTTTTTAGTTTTTTCAATTAAAAAATAAAATGTGTTATCATATACCTTTTAATCCTTTTAAATAATGCTATATAACAATTATTGTAATCTCGAGTATCTCGGAAACGGTTTATTTTATCGAAGTTTGAGAGGTACACCTTTTTAATGGTAGACGAACTGTGTGATCAAAAAATTGTATCAAATGTTATAAAAACCTAACCTCAAAGTTTTTATGGGACAATAAGCTTAAAGCAACCCCCTTTTCTACGACACTGTGTTTAGTAGACGTTATATTAACAAAACTGATAACACAAGTAATTAGGAAAAATATTTATTTAGGTTTTCGTCTTATTTTGACTTGCTCAATCTTTTCCTAAATTTATGCCAATAAGTTTAGGGACACCTTGTATATTTCAAATAGATTTTTGCCACAATGTTAAATTTTAATATTTTTTCCAATTTCTCAAGTGACCATTATTTTAAATAAAAAATTAATTTTAGGATCTTAAATCGGCTCTAACCTATAGTATCCCATGGTACGCCACCAATGCACAATTTCAACACATAACTTTACACAATAAATATGGAGAAAATATGGCCAAAGCTTTTAAAGATCATTTTCCCAATAAAGTGGTAATATCATCTTCCAACATGTATGGTAATTTTAAACCCTCTGTAGTAGAAAACGTGGATGCTTCATGGTCAAACTTAAAACAAATCCTAAAAAATATTTTGTTTAATAGCATGATTGGTAACTATCTGGTGTATTATCCAACATGTGGCTCAACCGCTTCTTTTGAGTCACAATTACAAGAATCACTTTGCATGAGATGGTATTTGATAGCTGCCACCCTTCCTGGCTTTAGTGTAAACTCGGTAAAACCAAGACGTAATCCAAATAAATTGTACACCAAATTTACCACAGAAATAGTCCAAAGAGCTATGGATACCAGGAAATCAATGATTCCCCTTTACAAAACCATTTTAAAAGATGGTAAACCACTAGTGACCCCAATGTTTTACTATTATTCCAAAGACCCAAATACATTTTCCTTAAACGAGCAGTACATGCTAGGCGAGAACATCCTTGTGGCACACCCTTTTCTACCAAATCCGTCATCTTTGATGGTGTACTTTCCAGCTGGATTCTGGTATGGAATGAGTGATGGGCAATTTTTTAACGTAACAGAGGGTCGATGGGAACAATTGAGCATTGTTGAAACAGATTGGATAAGTTACATTAGTGGAGGAAGCATTATACCATTTGTAGTAAGTATCTTGATATACGAGGTGTGTTCAGAAAATATCGGGAATTTTTTGAAACAAATATTTATTTATTCGTCTACATTAATGTTGTCGCCTTTAAAATAGTCCCCATTGGATATTATGCACATGTGCAAGCTCTTCTTCCAATACTCGAAACACTTCTAAAACTCGATCTTTGGGATAGCCTTTTATTTCAGCGATGCGTTTTTAATGTCATCTATGCTTGCAAAACGACGACCCTTGAAGGTTCTATCTATTTTTGGGAATAGGAAAAAGTCAGACAGAGGCATGTCTGGCGAATATGGAGGCTGGGGCATCATTAGAGTATTGTTTTTGGCCAAAAATTTTGTCCAAAATTTAACAATTTTAGAACAAATTTTGCTGCCACGCGTTTTATACCCAAAAAAATTTCATGGGATGAGCCAATCGATATACCAACATCATCAGCGACTTCTCTGATGGTTTACAACCATTTCTGCCACTTTTTCCATGTTTTTATCGGTTGTTAATGAGATTGTGCGTTCGGGGCGTTCGTCATCTTGAATGTCTTCACGACCATCTTGGAAACTCTTATACCACTTGTAAACTCTTGTTTTACTTATAGACTCACTATAGGCCTTTCTTAACATTTCACAGAATTTATTTTATTTTTTAAGCAAAATTGGATACAAATTCTTTGATACATTTCTTTTAACGAACGAAAAATCGCCGAGCTCATAAAACACGTCTAACCTTAGCGGCTGCCACAGACAAAGTAAACAATAAAAACAGCTAAAGATTTTATCATCTTCGGAGGCATGTATATCAACATAATAAAGAAAATTTTATGACAACCGGACCCTCCGAACCCGCGAAATTTAACAATTCCCGTTATTTTCTGAATACACCTCGTAATTAAACCAAAAGCGCTCTTCGTTTTTAAAAGTTTTTTTTTTGCAACTAATCACTTTTTAAAATATTTGCTAATTGCTAACTCACTGTTAGATATGGTTTACATTCGTCAATTTTTATTTATCATTATTTTTAAATTTCCTTTTTCATATTTCAGGAAAATGATTCCAAATTAACAATAATAATAGCCACATCGTGTGAAAGTAACAAGATTGCAGAGGGAAAGATTTTTTTTGAAAATAAATGCGAGGCTGTACTTTTCGCAACTACTAAAAATATCACCATAACCATGAAAGCTGAAAATGTGTGCCGGAAACCATATGAAGTTAATCGAATAAAGTTGTACGATTGTGGCAATTTCAAGCATATTTCAGCCAGCCAAACTCTGAATGAAGCCAACGACACAGTTATTAGTTTTAATGCATAATATTAATTTTATTTATTTGTAATATAATTATTTAGCTTGGTATATCAATATATATTTACATATATTGAATTCTAATTTGTATTAAACAAAATTATCTTTTATATTTTCATATATTGGCCAAAATTTATGTTAAAAGGTACGTAATTATTCATTAAAATTTTTTATAAAAATTGTGTCTGCCTTATTAAAGTTACAAAGTGTAATAGGATGATACTTAACTTTATAAAAACTTACTGTATAATATTAAAGCACCAGTGGCTAAGGATTACCCAAATGCTCGTCGTAAATTATTTGGAAATCGCTTTTTACATTAATATGTATATAACTGTCAGTTTATTTTTCCAGTTAGATTTATCTTTTAAGTTAGGTATGCATAAAATTGTACACAGTAAAGTGCCTAATTAAAAATATGGTAAAATCCCTGCTCTTAAGGTTAAAAATTTACTTTTAAAATAACACAGAACCAATTATATTTATTTTATTATTTCTTTCTGTAATCTTCAGTGTGACCCATTTGTTTGCTACTCACCCCTGTAAAATCTTTATTGTGCGATTTTACCCGGGTTTGTTTTAAAGTGTTGATTTTGGTAAACAGTTTTTGGGAGTAAATTTTTAATAATTAATAATAGCGATTTAATAAAATCTATGCACAGCACTGGATTCAACGACCCTATACTAAATTCTATTAAAAAAAAATTAATTTGTAGCCAAATTAAAAATGAACAATAATAACTATTTACAAAAATTTATTCTGTCAAGTTATCCATAAAAAAAAAACATTGAAATAAAATTAAACTAATAATAACATGGTAATAATACATGCTATATAAATTCACTGAGAAAAAACAATGGTTATCTTAATCGAATATATGGTAACTTTTACTAAATATTCTGATTAGTATAGGCACAGCCATATTTACTGTTATGTTAACCATGTTTATATTGTAACAGTTTCATTGTCACTTTAACTATATTTTTGTTGTTGCACAAAACAATAATTTATTTAGTTATAATAATCATATGCAAATACCTTATAACCCTCTATATGGTTAAATAGTAATACGTATGATATGTATAAACTTTCTGTATAGTAAAAACTACAACGACATATTGTTAATAATGTGTGACAACATTATATTGTTATTGTAACCAGATAATCTTATAATTTTAACCATCTAGTGTAGTCCTAACAGTTTAGCCGTACATGATGGTTGTAATAGCCTAATCAAATATCTAACTTTACTAAATTTTTATAACAAAATGATTAGAGTACATATAACAAAACCAATTTTTCGTATATTGTTATTACAACCATATAATTAAATGAACCATATTTTGCATAACAAAACTATATTGTTAGGGATTAGAATATATTTTCTTAGAGTGTTATTCCTTTGCTTAGTTTCGACAAATAAAAAACGCAGTAGCTTGCATAATCTAAAAATAAGTAATATGGTACTATTATTATAAATGTTTTTTTCATGGATAACTTGACAGAATAAATTTTTGTATTTATTATTGTGCATTTTTCTACTTAAACTGTTCAATAAAATTTAGTAAAGGGTCGTTTTGAGGGGTGGTGAATCCAGTGCCGTGCTTAGATTTTGTTTAAAAATTCGCTAATATGAATTCTTAAAAATTTATTATTAAAAACTGACATAGTAGACACAGTTTATCAAGATCTACGCTTTAAAACAAATCCAGTTAAAATCGCACAAAAATTATTTAAATAAAGATTTACAGAGTCGCAAACACACTGTATAAATATAATAAAAACTACACTGTTTTTAGAGTATTACGATTTTATTTTAACTTAACAATTGTTTCGCTATCACAGTAGCTTCTTCACAATACAATCATATATGAATATGATATATTATGAATTTTTATCCTACAATATCTCAGAAGCGACACACTTTTAAAATCCAAACTTTTAGAAAAGCTTCAATTATTGTGTTGTTATAGGTGGTTTAGTTTAGACATTTTTGAAAATAACAATAAACAAACAACACTATGTTTCCGTCTTTCAAAATATAAGATGCTTCTAAAAAACTTTAAATGCGACTTCTCACAAATTAGATTTTGGCGTTTGATTCCCTATTGCATAACAAAGACAATGAACAAAATATTTCTGTTTCCAACCCAAAATTTATCTAACTGCTATTTTGTTGAACTACTCATGGTAATAATAGCTTGTGTTTAAAAAAGGATTACAGAATTTAGTGCTTTCGTATTAGAAAGTTTTATAAAATAAAAGTTATTTCAAGAATTCCAGTATTTCAATGCAATTTAAGATCTTTTCTGCGCGTTTTCCTTGCTTGAAAAGGAGTTTAAATAAAAAAATCCTGTTAAATAAACTTTTAATGGGATAAACATGGTCCTTTGTACAAAGTTTGTAGGTAATGTATATGAGGGGTGTAGTTACAAAAGTCACATTCTTCACTAGTGTGGAAAATGAGTTAGAGGTGACATATTGTAGTAAAAGTTGAAAGCTATATAATGGCAAAGTCAAATTGCAGAAAAACTTAGATTATCCCATATAATAGTATATTATGTATCAGTTTGATAAACGCCATTTTGGTCACGAATGCGACTCGCTTGCGAAATACTAAAATGATTTAAATGTATGTATATATTTATAAATCAAAACGAATCCCTTGAAAATGGACTAAGAACAGTTTTTCACAGTGAAAGTAAAGAAAATGTTTGATGGGCACTCCACGGTGGAGTCTCCACCCGTAATTAAGTTAAATTTAGTTTACTGCCAGAGAAATTAAAGGGTCAGTACAATGTTTATATAAACTTTTCAAATATTGGCATTGAGAAACTATTGTATTTTTGTATTAGGATAATAAAATAATTTATATATTTTGTATTATTTTACAAGATGGGCACTTTATTTTAACGACTGAAATATGTATAAAGAAGGTATCAATAAACATATATTTTTTCTTTCATATTATTACTCCTCCCACTTTTTTAACGACTGAAATATGTATAAAGAAGGTATCAATAAACATATATTTTTTCTTTCATATTATTACTCCTCCCACTTTTTTGTATCCTGAAAAAACTTGACGGTACATGATGGTTGTAATAGCCTATTTAAATATCTAACTTTACTAAATTTTATAACAAAATGATTATAGTACATACATAACAAAACTAATTTTTCGTATAGGTATTGTTATTATAACCATACGTTGTAATTAAATGAACCATATTTTGCATAACAAATCTATATTGTTAAGTATTACAATATATTTTCTTAGAGTGTAAAAAATTGTATGGAACTTCCCATCGAAAAAATGGTTTGTATTTGTTAAACAATTGGTTTTAAATGTACTTTTTATAAACAAATTTTGTTTATAAAAAGTACATATAAAACAAAAAAAAACAACATCCCATTTGAAAAAATTGAACGTACAGTGTACGTCGTACACCTCACCAAGGTCTTTGTTATGAGTGCGTTCCACCAACTTCAAATACCGACACTCAAAACAAAGGACTCCCCGAGCTTATATGCTCGGTTGGTAAGTCAACAGAGGCGAGATGTAAGAACTTCAGGTGATCCTTACCGCCCAAGTAGCATTTATAGTGGTTAAGACGTGTTGGCCACTTGTAATTTTTTTTATTATTAATTAAACATTTATTTCCCTACAATGGCGATTATTTGTAAACATGTTTGCTTTTGAAGAAGGGAACTTTAAAGTGGTAATTTTATACGAAACGTGGAAATCACTTAAGCATTCCGAAAACGTTGCCAATACTGATATACCCACTTTACTACTACTACCACTTTAAAGTAATACTTAAGTGATGTGATTTGGTTACAGTTACTATTTATAATCCACTCTAAAGTTAAGACAACTTTAAAGTGGTGTCAAAAGTAGTCATAAAATTTCAGATACCAGACTAATACACCAAAAAGTTATAAAACTATAAAGTATATTCTGCTGGTGCAAATCACATGATTACAACTATGCTAATATAATATAGAGATATGTTAACTGTATCGTGATAGATTTAGTTATTTAAACGTTATTGCCACTCATTTGAAGTGGTGATATCAGTTTTCGTCACTATAATGCTACTTGGGCGTGGCGAGGTGTAGGTTCAATTTTTTCTTATGAATATTACCAGTAATGGGTCCAGAAACTAAGAAAATTGAATGTTTACCTTAATGTTTAGCCCGGTTGGGCTAATTCTAGATTCCTTTAGGCCATGTTCTTACATCTCGCCTCTGTTGGCTTACCAACCGAGCATATAAGCTCGGGGAGTCCTTTCTTTTGAGTGTGTTCCACTACACCAAGTTGCCCGACACTGATGAGACCCAATATGGGTCGAAACAGCTGTCTGTCGGTATTTGAAGTTGGTGGAACGCACTCAAAACAAAAAACTTTGGCGAGGTGTAGATTCAATTTTTTCTTATGAATATTACCAGTAATGAGTCAAGAAAGTTTCTTAAAGAAACTAAGAAAATTGAATGTTTAACGTCCCATTTAGTCATTTTTTATTTGGTTGGGTAAAAAAATTGAATTTGCACATTTTTAGAGGGGAAGAAAAATATAAAAAAAAAACAAATCAAAAGGGGTCGGTTCAAAACTGGTCGATTTGGCATGAAACAACCCATATGTAATAGTATATTTAACACATTTTGTACTGGCAAAACATTAATCTGAACATTTTTATTGTTTTAAATAACTTTTGATGAAATACGAGTAGATGTAATAGGTATAACATTATAAAAAATTAGATTTAGAAATATTTACTTCAAATGTATTCTTGTAGCATTTTATAAAAATAGCATGGCATTTTAAAAATTTAATTAGTTATATTTTCAAGAATATTTACAATTGAATCGGTGAGAATAACAACAGTACATGTCCTAATGTTTGAAGTTTTAGAAAACAAAATAAACTGTATATTTTGTTTATTAGGATTTTTTCAGATTCAAAAGTACAGTCAAGCTGTGGAGAAAACTGTAGGTAGTTTATATTTTTTATATCATTTATTTTCTTTTCATTCCATAGTGGTGCAGTTCTTTTTTCTTCCATAATTTTCCCAGATGTAGACATATGGGTGATTCTACAAAAGTTGGACAACTTGATGTCATCAGTCAATAGAGTAGGTATTTTAATATTTTTTGTAAATATTTTAGTATATTACAAAAGATCCAGGTTTTTTTAACTTGTCCACCCAATTTTAATGTATTTTTTCAAAAGCACGTTTGTAGAAAAACATAATAAATATTCAAAACATCAGTACCTTGGCGTGTCACAACTCCTGAATCAAATATTTTAGTGGTTTTATTTTAAGATATATTCAATTTATCTTAAATTTTTCAATTTTACTACAAACTATAAAACATTAAAGGATGTATTTTTCATATTTTATCATAGATTCGAATAATAGCAATTAAAAAAAAAATGATAATCTTTGTACACAATTTTACCCGTCAGTTCTGTGTCCAATGTTAAAATTCAAAATTCCTGCGAAATATTGAAATTTAAATGTCAAGTGTTGGTAAAAAATTACCTACAGAGCCGAGAGTCATCTTGAAAATAATGCAAGGGGCGAAGTTGTGGTGAATGCATGTATAGTAGTCAAAATTTCAGTACTGTGGAGGGTAGTTATTTTCTTACGTATATAATATGTTCATAAGTAGCATCCACTAATAAAAAATATCAGTAAAATTATTTTACTAAAATACTTAATTCCGAATTATAATCTCAAATTTGTATCCCAGTACCGTGTCGTCAGTTCCATGTTCGATGTTTCGGTTATCTTCAATTTAAATTCTGCTTGCGCAGAACTTGTTTATTTAATGTCATTATAAACTCATATAAATAATTGAGATATCGGTATACCCAAAATCCACCAGCACCCACTGATGTGTGGTATTATTTGATTTTAAGATATTTAATGTATAATATGCTCAAAGTTGCAATAAATCTTATATTTTTCAATAAATTATGTATTTAATTAATACCCTTGTATACTCGTCACTTCCCTTGCATTCAAATTTAGAAAACACGTATATTTCAGAAACTGTTTGAAAAAGTGACTGGCCTGGTCTGGAACAGTATATTTTATTATATTATCTATGTTGTCATAACAAAATACTGTTTAATTTTTTCTGAAAACTATATAAACAAAATGAGGTCAAAAGTTGCCCAACTTTTGTAGAATCGCCCATATAAGATTCACCACGTTGAAGTGCAAACTTTCTATTATTAATTTTTCATCGTTCTGGATTTTTGCTACGTTTTTTACCCTGTCTTGTGTCATTTTCGCTACAATCAAATGATGACATTGTTGTATTTTACCCTGAAATACAACTATCACTATGTTAATGATGTCATAGTGAACAACGACATTTGTTAGGAATAAGAACAGTACAAGTCCAGGACTTGTACTGTTCTTATTCTCAATGCTACACAGTTAGCTCTGACAAACACCTTAACAAGCTGGTTTTAAAAATGTTTTTCTACTCCTTCGATGCCGCTTCGAATTTAAATCAAAATGGCTATTTCAGATGAATGTAAAATTTTGGACGTACTGTTCTTATTCTCACCGATTCAATTAATCTCAATTTGTATAAATATTTAAAAACATGTAGAATAAACTAATCTTAATTAGGTATTTATAGAACAAGAGGAAATGATAAGTTTTTTCACTTTATCATTTAAAGTTCCCTAAAGAATACAGAGAATTGAGCTCAAAATCCATGAGCTTAAACGTTTTCTTGTTGCAGGAAAAGCATATAATAAAATAAAACCCTTTTTTTGTAATAATAATAATAATAATATTTATTGTCATCAAAAGAAATACATGACACGTCACACAAAAAATAAAGATACAGTTGTATAGATAGAGAGCATTATGACATAATGTACAGGGTGATCCCCTATAATGTCGCCCCCCTTTAACTTTTTTATTTTAAGTGTCCCAAAAAATTTAAAAGTGTGGTTATGTAGGTACTAAAAAATACTTTTTTTCTACGTAACAAACCATATACCTAAACTCAACCGTTTTTGAAATATTCGCATTCGAAATGTTATCATTACATTTTTTTTAAACTGTTAGAAATCAAGAAGCCTCAGTATACCAAAATTTTTATTGAAAATAAATTACTATAGTGACATTATGTCAATATGTCTTGTTAAATAAGTAAAAATGTCGTACTCAGACAGAGAAAGACAAACTATTTCAAATTATTATCTTAAAAATAATTTAAATATTTCAGAAACGGTTGAATTTAGGTATATGGTATGTTATATAAAATATGCTTAGAATTTTACAAGGAATAGAAAAATAAATACATATATAGGGTGATCCATTGAAAAAAAATAAACTTTTTGTTTTTCCCTGTATATTGATCAATTTTCCAATTTTCTTTATACGTAGAAAAAAAGTATTTTTTAGTACCTACATAACCACACTTTTAAATTTTTTAGGACACTTAAAATAAAAAATTTAAAGGGGGCGACATTATAGGGGATCACCCTGTACATATTATGTACAATGTATATGTAAAGATATAATGGTATGTAAATAGTTAATAGTAGTTAAATACACTTTTAATATGAAAACATAACAACAATCGTATATGGGTATATTTTTAAACAGTACAAGTACACATATCACAAATATATAAAAAGTCACGTTTTAGGTACAGTTATGATAAATATTTGTCTTAAAAACCCTGTAAAAATATTGAGTGTCCTAGCACATATACTCCTGGGTCCATTTTTTCTGGTCCAGGGTATTACTTTGATACTATATGTACCTCGTTTTAGCCCTTTCCTTGTTAAAGTAAGCCTCGCATCTGTGCAAGTTCAGTTTAATATTGGACTTGGGCGACATATTCGACTCGGAGCCTGAAAAGTCCGCGCAATGACACTTGATGATGTCCATGCCAGCCTGATCGTAAAAGCTGTAAGAGGAGGAGCAAGGTTCGCTGTGAAAGTATTGGTAGCTGCGACGCTTCGGCTCGTCCATAAAGGATATGTGACCAACACTTGGAGGTTTGTCGGGGAGGCGACTGGATTTCTGAAACAAGAATTTCAATATTGGAAAATAAGATAAAAGTTACAAAAAATTGTAAAGAAAGCTTGTTACTGGGGCATTCCACGTTACTCGGTAATTTTTGTCCCGCCCGTCACAATTAAAAATTGTGAGTAAAAAGTACAAGTTATAAAATTAATATTTTATAATATTATTTTTATTGTGCTTATAACTTATTAAAAGCATAATAAAACAATATTTTTAAATAAATTTCATAACGTGTAGTTTTTACTCACAATTTTTAATTGTGACGGGCGGGACAAAAATCCCCGAGTAACGTGGAATGACCCTACTGCATATCCCTGTTGTAAATGACCGATTAATTCCTGTAGAAACCAATTGAAGTATTGGTTGGTATCAATGGGTCTGAATTGGACTTACTGGATTTAATTGGGAGCGATATAAAACAGAAATTGGTTTTTACTGGTATTTTCCATGATGGAAAAGTCCAATTAGGATTCTAATGGTTTTTATTGGTTTCGATTGGATAAAGCTACCTATAGGTAATTTCCAATTGAATTCAATTGAGCATTCCCAGTGTAAGATTCGAAAAATCTGCTAATTGGTTATTCCCAATACAATACAAATATCGCAAGAGGGCTCTCGTGTAGCTGCGCAAAATCAACGAGGTTGAGACGCCATCATAAAGAAAAAACAACAAAAAACAACAAGTCTTTGGACGCCATTTATTAGCGATTTTTTTTTATTAGTCGATTTCTGTGTTAAGTGCCTAGTGTTAGTAGTGTACTTATATATTAAAAAATGTTTATATGTGTAAGGTTTAGGGACGATGGCGTAAGAATGGTTGTCACAGCGGACAAAATAAAAAAATTTGAAGTAAGATATTTTACTTTTATGTTTATTTATATTGGCGAAATATTTGCTTTAAATTTTACCAGTAGGTATAAGGTTTTTATATTAGGAGAGATTTATTTTTTGATTTATTTTTATTGATAGTACCTGAATAAATGTTATGTTCAATCGTGATGTTTTTATTTCATATCGCCTATTTTAGTCACTTTCGGCCTAAATCGGCCTAAAATGTAGGTTTTTATTGCCTATTTATGGTTCCTAATTTCCAATTTTTTACGGCCTAAAATCCGGTCTTTGGTTATATATAACCGTTTTTCTTTAGAAAAACAAAGACATTATCTCCTGCTACATTATGGTCCGAATATTCCATGCTGAACTACTTCTATAGAAAAATACCAGGACATATCAAAATGTAACCGTCTGAAGGCATTTTTAAAGGGAAAAAATGATGGATATTAGCCTCGAAAGTCAAACGATAAAATTTCAAATATAGCAGATTCTACATGTCAAAATAGAATCAAACACAAAAAAAAGGTTTTTAAAAATTCAGATTCGGGAGATTTTTGTCAAATTTACAAAAAATATCCTAAGCCTAAATTTTTAAAAATCTTCACCAAATCATCTTGCACTATTTAGCTGTGTTGTTAAATTGTTGTAAAATTTTCAAAAATTCCTTGAATCTGGGAATTTTTCAAGACCTTATATTATTTGTTGCAAAATTTCCGAAAATTCAGGATACTTTCAGTGGATCAGCACAATATTTAGTGGTGTTGCCAAATTCAACAGGATCAACGTGATTTTTTGCATATATAGTTTTTGAAAGAAAATAAATAAAGTTGAAATGGCCCTTACATTACTGTTCACAGAATTTTTTTGAAGAATCGTACAAGCCCAGAAGGGAAAATTACCCTAAATATAAATATTGACATGCGCGGTTGTTTTTTGATTGCGTTAAAATTTTAACACAAAATAATATTTTTTAGGCTATAAAAATAAATATTTTCTGCGGCAAATGGTACCTACTTACTTGTATTATAGTTTTATGGTTCATGATTGATGGTGATCTTGAAATAGCATTTACACCGTGCATTGTGGTACTTCTCGTAGCTCCTGATCCGACTGTAACAAAAGAAATATAAAATTATTAAAGTGTAATTTATATTAAGAAAAGTTTTTGATGCACGTTAAATTTATGTTGCTTTTTGTCATATTACCACGTTTATATCTTTTTAAATTTATTAATAATAAATAAAATGTTGGTACATTGATAAAACTGAAATATATGGTCTCCACTTAAAGAATAAATACAAAGTTAATCAATTTTAATTATAGTGCTTAATAAAATATATTCCACAAACAGGTTTAAATTATGTTAAATTTAACTCAATTCTTTATAAAGAGTTCTTTAACAGTTTAAGGCTAAAGCCACTGGACGTTATTAATTGTAGCTGGTCCAGTAACAGCTAATTTGACTCAAGATCAATTCTCTCTAAAGAGCGAATAAAGAGTTAGAGAAGAAGAAGAAGAAGAAGTGGTTTCACTACCTCCACTGTTAGGTATATCCACAAGCATTCTTATAAGCATTTTCATCCAAAACGTCAGCTACCCAAAATCCAAAATTGGACAATTAGTGCCACTTAACAAATTTTTTCTGCTCCCACCTTTAAAGCGCCCATTATCATACTTGTTTTCATGATACAAAATGAACTTTTAAATACACATTGGCTTTATGGCTTTTTAGTCACGGGTTTAAGTTTTAAGTTAGTTGACAGTGTTTAAATGTCATATAATCGTTAAAATAAAGTGCCCTTGTTGTAATATAATACTACTAAATGTGAACATTACTTTATCTACTCCTATTGCATAATTTTGGGTTTTTCACGTGAATATTAATAAACATTATAAATTTCCTGCCTAACAACATAAGTATTAAACTCAATATTGACTTTGTTAGGCATCAATGATTGTCCGATTTCAATATTCACTGTGATTTGAACCAATCAGGTTTTAAATTAAAAGAAGGCCACTATAATTACATTTAAAATTGGTAAAAAGTAAGGTTAACCATTTGACCGATCTCAGATTTTATTTATTTAATTTTTACAATCATTTAATTATCTACTTATTCGAGTAGATAAGGTATAGTATTACACTCGAGATTATGCGCATTATTCACTCGGATGGTTTGATTCTCTCGTCTAACCACTCGAGATGCAAACCTTATCCTCGTGAATAATAGCCTGCATTATCTCTCGTATAATAATATACTATTATTATCTTAATACAAAAATACAAAAGTATTAAATAAGTTCTAAACGCCAATATTTGAAAAGTTTATATGAAAATTAACTTATTTATTTTCTTTACTTTTAAGGGGAAAAACTGCTTTTATATCGAATTTAAACGGTGTAGACTACAATTTTAAAGGGATACATTTCGATTTACACATAAAAATTTGTCATTTTCACCGTCGCACCGGTAATACAGATTCCCAAGAATGGTTACTCTATTGTTTTATAGATGTCGCTCTATACAAATTTTTAATTTTAATCATTTTAGGATAATAAGTATTTGTCGTAGAAAATAGTAAATATATTATTATACAAAAGATAATGCAGGCTATAATTCACGAGGATGAGGTTTCGTTCTATACTTTATCTAATCCAAAAAGTAGATAATTAAATTATATTCACAAATAAATTAATAAAATCTGACATCTGTCAAATGGTTAACTTCACTTTTTACCAATTTATATCCTGATTGGTAAATTATAGTGAATATTGAAATTGTCCATTTACTGATGCCTAACAACGTGAAAATTGAGGCAGGGAATTTATAATGTTTATATTCAATTTTCTCAGTTTCTTTAAGAAACTTTCTTGATCCATTACTGGTAATATTCATAAGAAAAAATTGAAATTACACCTTGCCAAAGTTTTTTGTTTTGAATGCGTTCCACCAACTTCAAATACCAACAGACAGCTGTTTCGACCTATATTGGGTCTCATCAGTGCCGGCCACGTCGTTTGACGGTGTGGATCACCTGATGTTCTTACATCTCGCCTCTGTTGGCTTACCAACCGAGCATATAAGCTCAGGGAGTCTTTAGTTTTGAGTGTGTTCCACTACACCAAGTTGCCCGACACTGATGAGAATTTTTTCTTATGAATATTACCGCGGCAAAGGCCACGTCGTTTGACGGTGTGGATCACCTGATGTTCTTACATCTCGCCTCTGTTGGCTTACCAACCGAGCATATGTATAAGCTCAGGGAGTCCTTTGTTTTGAGTTTGTTCCAGTACACCAAGTTGCCCGACACTGATGAGACCCAATATAGGTCGAAACAGCTGTCTGTCGGTATTTGAAGTTGGTGTAACGCATTCAAAACAAAAAACTTTGGCGAGGTGTAAGTTCAATTTTTTCTTATAATGTTTATCAATATTCATGTGCAAAACCCAAAACTATGCAATAGGAGTAGGTAAAGTAAAGCAAAGCCGCTATCATTAATGTTGTTGATGGGTCCAGCTGTAGAGTGAGAAGCTCGAGGAGTGGCTGCAGGATCTTCTGCTTTCTGTTTTTTAGCTGGAGGTTCTGAGGCGACACTTTTAAGGGTGTTTATAATGTTGGAATAATGCTCATTTTCCATTTGCAGATAAGGCTTAATTGAGTTGACTGAACTGGGGCCAGTAATTTTAATTAATTGTTGTTCACCCCCCCCTCCTTTAGCCAGGTTACTGACGATCGCATAGAGTGGTTTGTTATTTTTATTTCTTTTGTTTTTAATCCTGCCTTCTCTGCTGCTTCTTTGGTCCATTTCCAAAGTTCGTTTTTTCCCACTGGTGTTTTTGTACCATTCACTTGTTTATTCTTTGTTCCATTATGGGTTTACTGTTAAGAATAATTATTCTTATAATCTATTAGTTGTTATTCTAGATGAACGTTTAACCATTAGAATTTTAAAAAGATGGACTGGGCGTTTTATTGAAGAGAGGATTATATTCTACTCTTCCTAAAAAGTACATCTGCACATTCCTTCGTTTTGCATTACGAGATTTCCTACTAGACTTAACACGTTGATGGACACAGACAAATTTTTGGCGGGACCTGCTGCGTCACTTGAATAATTCATACACCTTTTATCCTATCATCAAAAAATTTTACCGGTAACTTGATGATGCCCTTAGGGCTGTATATGGCCTTTAAAAAAGTTTGACGGCTATAGCCGTCAGGCCCCACTATGAGATTTTTTTTCAAAAAAAAAAAAAAGGTGTGGTGGGTCATAACGGTCATAACCGTCCATGTTTTTTTTATTTCCACTTATCCATTATGGTAGTATAAAGTCACTGGTGAACAAATTATACTTTAATAATGACAAAAAGTCTAGATTCAAATTTAAATATTTATTTTTAATCTCAACGGTACGGTATATAACTATAAATATCTATAAATACTTATAATTTATAAGTTATAAAATACCTAAAAATAATATTAAATTTATTTTATAAAAGTGATAAAAATAATATAATTGTTCAAAAACTTATAATTACTAGCTTTGTTACATCAAAATTTTACTCCACCTCACAACAATCAAATTTTTACTCCACCTAACAACAATCGGTCACAAAAACGGCCGAACTTTAGGTTAAGAATCGCGCTTAACAGATACTCATATAAAAATTAATTTGCAACCAGCTACATTCTGCAACCAAAAATACATGAGGTCTCAAGGGACATATATGTCAGAGCTTCCTATGGATCTCATTATTAATGCGCCTGCATATGCAGGCTTGTCAGCTAGAAAATTGCGGCTGCTATAGCCGTCGTGTCATATTGGGCCCGACGGCCATGAACGTGTTAAAGCACCGAAAAAAATATATTCGTTGAGTTAACATTTGCCTAAATGTCATTTTTGAAAATGTTGTTTCAACAAAAAACCTATTGGATTAATCTATATTTTGGTGTCAAAGCAATAGTCAGAGTTTGTCAAAGTTTATTTGTTCATTTGACAATTTAAAATATTGATCTTACATGAACTCATTGTTTGAATTAAAGTTTTTATCATATTTTGATTTAATAGCTGGAATTGGTTAAATCAAATACTAAAATTGTTGGGATTACCTAAAAAAACTATTAGATTAACGTTTAGTTGCTGTTTAATCCACAACATTAAATTTGTTCATTTAACAAATTGTAAATGTTATTTTAAAATTTAAAATGTTAAATTTGCATTCATAAAGTTGCCTTAACACTCTAAGAATGTTAAATTAACAAAATTAGCAGATTGGAACAAATATCCTAATTTTGTTCATTTGACTGTTATTTGTTGTTCAATTAAACAATACAATTTGACATTTTTAGATGGTTAAGTAAACGTGCAAAAACCATTGCTTGTATTTAAAGTGCATAAAGAGTTGAATTAATATTTTTTTTGTTGTTTCAACAGCTTATTTTTTTCAGTGAGGTTAAATGGATCAAAAATTATTTTCCAATTCATAAAATACATCTCTTGCATTTTTTTGCAACGGTGTTTCACATTGTCTTCACACCTAGTTTTTTGTAATTTTCACCGTTTTCTTTCTTTATATCCCACGTCCAATCTTTTAGGATTAGGTTTAGTTGCTCTAAACTTGTAGTTTTCAAAAGCTCGTATTTCTTTGCGGAATTCCGTTAACGGTATTGTACGGTACACTTTTCTCAATCGCCAGATCAATATTAGTCATAGAATCACTTCCAAAGCAACTAATTTTCACTACATAAGCTGACTAGCACTGTATAAAAAGAATACGCTAAAGAAGTATCGGGTTTTCGCAACGCGCGCACCATCTGGTGCGTTAATTTAAGAATTGTCAACAATGCATTTAAAGCATACGAACTCTACATCATTTTTAAATAAATAGGTAGTTTTTTCACAATAGAGAGGAAGGCAGAAGTCTTACTCGACAAATTTTGTTCAATTGCTCAGCTAAATCGCGCTCGTTATTTGTGTTTTACGTTGCAAGGAAAAAACTAAAAAACTGGTTTAGTACTCGATTTTAATTGATTATTCTTTATATCATTGATTAAAAAACTCAACGCATAAATGCTTAAGTT